TTTACCTATGATTTGAGAAGAACTAGCCCTTGGAAAATCGCCTCTTGAAGTTAAGGTTTTAAAAAATGGGAGAATGAATGAAAAATCATGTCTAAGTCCAAACTTATCAGCTGCAGATGTCGCAATTGGGACCTGAGCTCGTAAATGCGAACCCCTCGCATTTCTGTTGCCTTCGCAAATGCGAATTTCCAGTCGCAAATGCGAACAAGGACTTCCGCAAATGCGGTCAGTTCTTCGTAAGTGCGAACTCCCCAGTCCCCTTCCCTACTTCGCAAATGCGATCACTTTTTCGCAAATGCGAGGCTTGCATTTGCGAGCCAGACCTCGCAATTGCGAAGTCTGCAGACCTGAAACATACCAGCAATTTTTTCTTAAGTCCAAATCACTCCGTAGCCTATCCAAAACTCACTCGAGCCCCCGGGGCTCCAAACCAAACATGCACACAAGTCTTAAAACAACATACGAACTTGCTCGCGCGATCAAATCACCAAAATAACACCTAAAACTACGAATTTAGCACCAAATTGCATGAAATTTTGAAGAAAGTTTCAAAACTTCTATTTTTTTTCAACCAAAGATCTGAATCACGTCAAATCAGTCTTGTTTCTCACCAAACTTAACATAAAAGATATAAATATCATAACGGACCTGTACCGGGCTCCGGAACTAAAATACGGACCCGATACCAACGTGATCAACTATTAACCAATTTCTCAAAACCATTATAATTTCAGTTTAACAATTTTCATCAAAAATTCATTTCTTGAGCTAGGGACCTCAGAATTCGATTCCGGGCATACGACCGAGTCCCATATTTTACTAAAGACCCTCCGGAACCATCAGAACACGGGTCCGGGTCCGTTTGCTCAAAATATTGACCGAAGTCAACTAAAATTAATTTTTAAAAGCAAAATTATTATTTTCTCAAATTTCCTCATAAAGACTTTCTGAAAATGCGCCCGGACTGCGCACGCAAATTGAGAAGAAATAAAATGAGGTTTTGAAGGCCTCAGAAGCCCAAATTGGATTCTAAAACACAAGATGACCTTCGGGTCATCGTAGTTGTGTGGCGATCGGATTCGTTTCCCCTTCTGTCCGAGCGGTACGGCTGATACCGATCCCTGACCGGCCTTGGCTCCTGTTCCATAATCCTTTTAGATCTTTCATTCGCTCTGTTGGGGTAAACAAACCCCGAGGGGGCCACCAAGTGGTCATCCTCGATTTTGATCTTCGACTGATACCTGTTATGGATCTCAACCCAAGTAACCGCCGGGTACACCACCATGTTTTGCTTCAATTATTGAGTAACAATGAAACTTTGGGGGTTGAGCCCTTGAGTGAACGCCTGAATGGCCAAATCATATGCGGTCTGGGGCAGGTCCATTCGCTCTATCTGGAACCTCGACACCAATTCCCTAAACATCTCGTTATCTCTCGGCTTGACTTTTAAAAGGTTTGATTTCCTTGTCTCTGCCTTAATGGCGCCGACATGGGCTTTTACGAAAGCATCCGCAAACATAACAAATGAATCAATAGAATTCGGAGGCAAGTTGTGATACCATATCATCGCTCCTTTCGACAAGGTTTTCCAAAATTTCTTCAATAACACCGATTCGATCTCGTCGTCTTCTAGGTCATTACCCTTGGTTTCGCATGTATAGGAGGTTACATGCTCGTTTGGATCTGTGGTCCTGTTATACTTGGAAATATCGGGCATTGGGAATCTCTTCGGGATTGGCTTCGGCGTTGCACTCGGGGGGAAAGGCTTCTGAATTTTTTTTTGGAATCTGGCCCCTTCAATATTGGAGGTTCTCCCGAGATCTGATCGACCCTACAATTGTAAGTTTCCACCTTTTGTCATTTGTCTCTATATTTTTCTCACCAGACTCCACCTGCTTTGTTAGTGCTTCGAGCATTTTCATCACCTCAAAAGTCTCTCTGGGCTCGAATTCATCTGGTTCTACGGCAATTTGTTCATCCCTTAGGGTGTTTTCTCTGACCCGCTCGGGCTCAGTCCTGTTAGGGGCGTGACTTTGGGTCTGCAACTGCGCTATTTGCGCTTGCAACATTTTGAAAATCAATCGCAAGATAACTCCATCACCTTCCCCTTCGGGTGTTTTTCGTGTCGATGGCCAGGGTGCCCCGCGAATGCTGTGTTCGGGGTCAGTTGGCAAGTTGATGTTGATTGCAACCTTTGAGTTAACATTGACTGGCTCAGTGATTGGGATCAACGAGAGGTACGTCAATGCTGGGTACCACGTTATTATTTTTACCGTGGTGGCCTGACTCGGCGTCAACGTTTAAGTGAGCAGACTGAGAATTTGATATTCTTAGATTAACTTGAAATCAAACTTCAAAGAGCAAGTGTAAAACAGGGTGTGTTATGGAGGTTCGTATTAAATCACCACTATTATCTTTGCCCCATGGTGGGCGCCAAACTGTTTACCCTTAAAATGAGTAACAATTAAATTGTTCGCGGTTTAAAGGATACGTGATTTAACTTAACAGGAATGATCTAAGAACAACAAATATTTAAATTTAAGAGAGATAAAACGATCAAACCAAACGCGGTGGAACAATTAAACCTGGATTTAAGTTGAACATTGAAACTGGCTCCGATCGAGCCCTCGATACGGGCTCAGTTGTAACTAAAGAAAAGAGGAACTGAAGAACACTTTGAACAATAGCTAGCTAGAAGATAAAAATAAACTCTATTCCTTTGATATGTGTGCCAACATTGGTTAAAAATAAAAAAGTTCTCCCTTTTATATAGTATGGAGTTTAATTTTAGTACAAGTCTAAATAAGGTAAAAATCTTTTTTTTTTCCCGTTAAATGTTGATCTGCAGTTGATATCGGGCGGGGTTTGTTTCGTAATATCTGGTTGAGCGCGGATATTATGGTTTCCTGCTTATCGTGCTTAACCTTTTCTCTTTTTCCTTAGTCTCGAACCTTTACTCTGCCTGGACCCGATGCTCAGTCGTGTCCATCCCGGATGTACCCTTCGTCCTCCCCGGGCTTCGAAACGAAGAACCCTTCGACTTTACTCAATGTTGCGTCGGATCATGCTTTCCTCTTGTTTCTTTACCGGGGAATCAGGGTACGTTATCCCCGAATTTACCCGTACACAATTCTATGCTCATATTACTAGTTTACTACTAAAACAGTAGCATGATTTATCATATACCTATCTTCCGCAACTGTATTTTGTTTGGTTATTTTATCTTAAGATAAAGACAACAAAAATAACAATAATATCAATAGTAAAAAGGTCGTGGAACTACTTTTGGGTCCAAAAAGGTCATGGAAATGCTAAAGCTAGTAGCTAATAAAACATGTGTGATTGCAAGAAGTGAATGGCCATCATCACCTCATCACCTTGCTTCTATTGCCCACACGTGATATGTCTAATCTTCCTTGAAAAAGAATTATTCTTTTGAGAATATTAAAACCATAATGACTCATCATGAGATTTTAATACTTTTTGGATTGAGTTACTTAGCTTCCTACGTATTATGCATATAAAATATGATACAAATCTTTTATGTATTGTCATAGTCAAGATAGTGTAGGTAAATTATAAGATATGATTAGATCTTGTGAAACTGTAACGGAGCAGAAATCAAGTAAGGGTCATCGTAGCAGCCAGCGACATGAGAGTTGGCTTCCATGCAGATAGCTCAATACAAAGAAATTATAACGGGGGATTTTTATCTATACCCGCTTTTTGGGTCACATTTTAACTTGTGTCGCTTTGCAAAAAAAATTGCACGTACACACTTTTTCGCGTAACTTTAGAATACGGGGCTGAAGTAGCAAAGGCAATCACGCAAAATTTCAGCATTCTAGTAGACGGGCCTGAAGTAGCAAGTGTGCTGAAGTTTTTGTTTGTAATTGCTGAACTTAAGCATAGTAGCTGAAGTATTGTTCTCTATTTGCTGAAGTTTTTGTTTGTAGTTGCTGAACTTAAGCATAGTAGCTGAAGTTTTGTTCTCTATTTGTTGAAGTTTTTGTTTGTAATTGCACTAAATAAGCTGAAGTTTTTTTGTCCTGGATTCATTAGTTTTATCATTAAGCTTTTTCAAAAACTTCAGCAGAAGATGCTAAAGTTATTTAGTTCATTTATAAAAACTTCAGCACTAAATAAGGTGAAGTTTTTTTGTCCTGGATAAGCTTTTTCAAAAACTTCAGCAGAAGATGCTGAAGTTATTTAGTTCATTTGTAAAAACTTCAGCACTAAATAAGCTGAAGTTTTTTTTGTCCTGGATTCATTAGTTTTGTCATAAAAGCTTGTTCAAAAACTTCAGCAGAAGATGCTGAAGTTATTTAGTTCATTTGTAAAAACTTCAGCACTAAATAAGCTGAAGTTTTTCTGTCCGGATTCATTAGTTTTGTTATAATCGGACTACTATAAAATAATCAGATTGCCAACAGTATCTAAATCATAAAATTTTGGAAACAAATTAACGTGAAACGAACAGTATTATCATGAAAAGAATCACTAAGTGTGATCTTAAACTTCTCGTATGTGGAAATATTCACAAATTATTGTCTGCTAACTTACGTAATTATTTATAATTTATTTTTAAATAATCTGATAAACATACTTATGGCAATCATCCCATGAACTAAAGTTTCATAGTAGCACCAATAGCAGCAGAAGAAGAAGAAGACGAAGGAGGAGGAGAAAGGAGGCTGAAGTTGTTTAAAAAATGGGTACAAGTTAAAACTTTAAAAAAAAAGGTATAGGTTAAATGGGGGCGACCAAATAGGACGTCCGTGTAATTTTTACAATTATAATTCAAGTGTAGTATTACGAGTTTACACTTTTAGCCACTTTGATTTTTCTGTTTCTTGTTAATCATGAAAGAAAACAATCGAGTTAAGGAAATTGGAAATTGATGTTTATTGTAAGATCATGTTAACTTATCTTCGTTAAGTGATAATATGAGATGACGATGTGTATATTAACCACAATTAAATGAAAAAAAAAAATTATACTATATGAATAGATGTCATGTATTTATTGATTTACTGTAAATATCACAAAGAAAAGGATAAAATATTCTCAGTTGGGAGAGAAGGATCATACTTCAAGGTCCTCTTGCCTTGTCTTAAGAACAAGAAGAACGAAAAGAAAAAAAGATGATTGCTTTACGTTTCTCCATTAACCTAAGAAAATAAAATTCAACGAGAAATAGAACAAAAACTAGCTTATGAGCTAGGCTTCACAAGAAACATCAGCTGAAAACTCTTCTTCTTCCCTCAATAATCTCTGTTGCCTGGCAATGAAATCCTCCACTGTTCGTCTGAAATCTTCACTAGTCATCTCATCATCCACATTTCTCCGGCAGACCACCGTCGCCGATCGCCTCAGTTCTCGTCTAGTCTCCTCATGCTGGGGGACAAACAGCAAGTTTTCTGAACGGCTCTTTCGAATTTTCCTTCCAACTTCTCTCTCTCCAAGTATGCACTGTTTCCCCTGTTTCGTACTCTGTTCCCTGTAATTATTTATACTCTGTTTCCCCTGTTTCAGACTCTGTTCTCTGCAATTGCTTATGCTCTGTTTCATGCTCTGTTCACTGTAATTGGTTATGTGCTTTGCACATTCTTTCATATACTCATCATGGAAATCGGTTATGGTGCTCGTTGATGAATTATCTTTAGCATATGACTCTCTAGATTTCAAGAACAAGATGATGACAATCACATTTCCAAGCACGAAGATGAACCGGGGACTAATGAGGGCGAGTGGGAGTTCCCTGAAATACTCACTAAAAAGCTTGGAAACAAATGTCAACTGAGTGGAAAATCTTAAGATTATGACAAAAAATATGCAAATTTCCATGGCACGGAATAGGATTGTGATCCTTTGAAGCCTTTTGTACCTAAGAATTGCGTTTGCTTTCTCTGCTTTGATGTTCTTGAAATTGAAAGACTCCATTTTTTTCCAACTTTCTGATGAGAATTGGTTGGTTCAAGGCTAAGTGAAAGATGAGAGGGATTGTGACTAACAATTGAATTCGAGCAATAAGCAAATTCAACCTTAGCCAAACCCGTTAAAAATTACATAAAAGAAAGCATCTCACACAAAGGGAAGAAGTGATTTTGAAGCAAAACCATAGTTCTGAAAAGGGCAGAATTATTTATAACAATGTTCATCTTGAAGAGGGAAGCAAATTAGAAGGAAATGAAGATGAGGAAAATAGAGTAATAAAAAAGAAGAGAGCTTTTGATTAGTGAGTCTTCTTTGTTGTTTTATGAACTTGGAATAGCAGGGCCAGAAATGTAGTGGTATATATAGGCTATAAAATAGACTTTTCTTTTTTCCTTTTTAGGTTTTAGTTTTATTTTTCTTTTAATTTTTGAAGTAGATTCTTCTTCTTTTTTTTTTACTTTATCACTTTGCTTCGGAGATACTGTAACATTTCGGTTATGTCTAAAATAAAGCTGATGCTTTTTTATAAAGTCGTTTCTTTGTACATAAACTCCTATATAAAATTATTACATGTCAACAACAATAACAACAACCCTGTAAAATCTCACAAGTAAAGTTTGGAGATGATAGAATGTATGCGCACCTTATCCTTACCCCGAAAGGGTAGAGGCTATTTCCGAAAAACCTTCAGCTCAAGAAGACAAAAATAGACAATACCAATCGTGACAACAACAAAAATCAGAGAAATTAATATTAGCATCGTAAGAAACAAAAAATATATGGAAAAGCAATAACAGCAACCAATAATAATGCCACAGTACTATGAAAAAACGAAAAAATAATGTGGACATAACATATACCACTAGCAGTCCAAAACAAAACCCTAACAGACAAGCCTCACCCCCGGCACAAAGAAGAAAAGAGCTCGACTCCCTCCTAACCTTCAACTCTAATGCTCGACATCCACACCTTCCTATCAAGAGCCATGTCCTCGGAAATCTAAAGTCGCTCCATGTCCTGCCTGATCACCTCACCCTATTAGGGCCGCCATTTACTTCTTATCATACCGCCAAAGCCAACCGCTCACACCTCCTAACTGGGGAATCTTCGCTTCTCCTCCGCACGTCCCCGAACCATCTAAGCCTTGCTTCCCACATTTTGTCGTCAATGGGAACCACACCCACCTTCTCCCGAATATCTTCATTCTTAATCTTATCTAGCCTAGTGTGCCCGCGCATCCATCTCAGCATCCTCATCTCTGCTACTTTCATCTTTTGGATATAGGAATTCTTGACTGGCCAACACTAATCCCCATACAACATGGCTGGTCTAACCACCACTCTATAAAACGTGCCCTTAAATTTCGTTGGCACATTCTTGTCATATAGGACTCCAGATGCTAACCTCCATTTCATCCACACCACCCCTATGCGGTACGTTACATCCTCGTCTATCTCCCCATCCCCCTTGGATAATTGACCAAGGTACTTGAAACTTCCTCTCTTGGGGATGACTTGTGAGTCAAGACTCATGTCCAAGTCTGTTTCCTCCGTCAAGTTGCTGAACTTGCACTCCAGTTATTCTGTCTTTGTCCTACTCAACTTGAACCTTTAGACTCAAAGGCCTGTCTTCAAACCTCCAGCCTCTCATCAACGCCGCCTCGTGTCAATCAGAACTATATCATCAACGAACAACATGCACCATGACACCTCCGCTTGAATATGGTGTGCAAGTGCATCCGTCGCCAGGGTAAATAAGAACGGGTTGAGCACAGTTCCTTGGTGTAACCCCATAACAACCGGAAAATATTCCGAGTTACCACCTACAGTCCTAACCCGAGTCTTAGATCCATCATACAAGTCCTTTATCACCCTGATGTAAGCTACGGACACACCTTCCACCTCAAGGCATTTCCAAAGAACCTCCCTAGGAACCTTGTCATACGCTTTCTCAAGGTCAATAAACACCATGTGCAAATCCTTCTTCCTATTCCTATACTGTTCCACCAACCTCTTGATAAGATGGATAGATTCTGTAGTCAAACGACCCGGCATGAACCCGAATTGATTGTCTGATATAGACACCGCCCTCCACACCCTTGCTTCCACCACTCTCTGCCAAACTTTCATGGTATGACTTAGTAACTTGATACCCCTATAGTTATTACAAATCTGGATATCACCTCTATTCTTGTACAGTGATATCATCATGCTCCACCTCCATTCATTTGGTATCCTCTTCGTCCTGAAAATAATATTAAACAGCGCATTTAGCTATTCCGAACCTGCTCTACCCACGCACCTCCATAGTTCTACCGGAATCTCGTCTAGCCTGGTAGCTCTGCCCCTACTCATCTTGCGCATAGCACCCACAACCTCCTCAACATTAATACGCCTACAATACCTAAACTCTTGGTGACTCTCGAAGTGACCCAGTACCCCTAGCATAATGTCTCCGTCTCCCTCTTCATTCAGAAGTCTATGAAAGTTAGCTTTCCATCTCCGCTTAATTTGGGCATCTTTCGTCAGTACTCTGCCTTCCTCGTCTTTAATGCACCTCACTTGGTCCAGGTCATGGGCCTTCCTCTCTCTCACCTTAGCCACCCAAAATAACGTCTCGTCCCCTCCTTTGGCCCCCAGATCCTCCTAAAGATGACCAAACGCTGCAGTCTTAGCCTCCGTGATCGCTAACTTCGTCTCCTTCCTAGCTTCCTTATATTTCCCCTATTCGCTCTCCTCCCATCCTTGTTTGTGCCCTCCACTAACATAAGGTACGCCACTTTCTTTGCTTCCACTTTACTTTGGACCACGTCATTCCACCACCAGAGCAACCCTTCGAGACCCCTAACACCTCTCTCGCTACCTCTCTTATACAGTCCTCTGTCGTCGTCCACATTTCGCTAGCGTCCCCGCTACTCTTCCAAGCTCCCATAGCCGGCAACCTCCCCTCCAACTTTTGAGCTTTATCTATCGTCAAGGATCCCCACCTTATCCTCGATTGACCATGTACAAACCTCTTCTTCCTTTTTATCATGATACCGATGTTCATCACCTAGAGCCTATGTTGTGATTCGAGGGTCTCCCTTTGTATAACCTTGCAATCCTTGCACAACCCCCTATCACACCTCCTGAGGAGAAGATAATCGATTTAGGTCTTAGCCACCGTACTTTGAAAATTAACCAAATGCTCCTCCCTCTTCAAAAGCATATCTTTTGATGTTCAGACTGTTAAGCATATCTTTAGTGTTCATTCATAATTGGTGAGAACTACTTAATACTTATGCTAATGCAGAGTAACGCGAAAGCACACAACAAAATGAAGAAAGAAAGGCAACTTTGAAATGACAATCTGATACTATAAGCTTACATATATGCGGGCAATAAGCAGTAAAAATTACAATGGACTTGCTGTTTTATTGATTTGAGACACAATGACTTGTTTAATAGTGCTGGATTTCTTTTCATTAGTATACTCATCTTAATTTAATTTATGTGGCATAGTTTAATTATTTACGGAGTTTCAGAATGTTTTTTTTAGAACTTGTGATCAACTCATTAGATTTAGGTGGCTGTAAATGCATGCCATAAAGAATAAAATAAATGCTTTAAAGCTAAAACATTTTCTGTAACGCCCTGCAAAAATTTCACTAAGTATTACGTTCTTGTTCATGCCCTAAGCTAGACTCACAGGTGTTCAAAAAGTTATAAATATTTATAATACTTCAATCTCACACTTGGAAGGTAGTAAAAATGTTTAGAAGGGGAAAGAGGTGGTGCGGAACAAATTGAAAATATTTAAGGGGAGAAGATGAGCAAAGTTGCACAAGACCCAACTTCAAATGAGCTATATATCAAATAAAATCTCTTTGGGTTTAATTTTTAATACTTAAAACCGTTTGTCATTTGGACATTCCTACAAGAAGTTATGACTTTTTTATTAGTAGCAATCTGGTCCCAACACGCGGTGTGACGCTACCGACAAAGTTTTGGCGTGTGTGACCCTATCACTACTAGAAATTTGAGTTTTTTTGACTGCTATAACTGCTGGAGAGTAGCCAAAAATTGGTAATTTCCGATGGTTTAGCGTAATCAATAAGTTAAAGGTCAAAAAAGAACTTTCGACTACTGCATTCAGAAAGTTCCAGCCACCACACTCGGAGGGTTTAAATATTGATACAACTAGAGATTGATCGATTATTTCGACTACTACAATCAAGAATTCAAATAATTAGTTATTTATTTGTTTAAATATTTTCGACTATAGTTCGATTATAGTGGTTGAAATATTTAAGTAAAAATATAACAAATTATTTAACTTTTCGACTACAGTAATCGGAAATAGTCAATTTTCTGGAAAAATATGTTAAAAGTCGACTACTGTAATTGAAAATAATTATATTTCTAGGGAAAATATGGATTTTTGCAACTACTTTAGTCGAAAATCTATTAATTTTTTGATAGTATCTATCTATTTTATTAGCTACACCACCTGCCAAGTATCAAAACCAACAACCAGAAACTAAAAATTCACCCAAACATCAATCCTGACCAATCAAACCTCATAGAATTCAAACAACTAAAACATTAAATATTCAAACCTCATTCAATCAAGTCTAAAAATTCAAACACCATTCAAATCAAGTCTGAGTATTCAACTATCATTCAAAACAAGTCTAAATGACTACCACAACTAAATCTAAACTTCACAATAAAGTTTAAACATCTTAACATTAGCAAACAACCACAAAGCTACACCTCATCAGACTCAGTCTCATCATCTTCATTAGATTTTGTCATATGCTTCATCATGAAGGTCTGCATTTTAACTTGGTTGTTTCCCATCATTGCATCAGCTCTGCATTCTGTTTTCGCATCGGTTTCATGTTTTCCTAATTTTGTGACGTAAAATGTTATGACTTGATCGGTCGTTTTGTGTATTTGAGCTCCGTTCCCTATTTGATACTTCCCGTATGTTGGTTTTGTAATTTGCGAGGATGGTTGGTTTGGTTTCGAAAAGTTTTGTGAGTGAATTTGAATACTTAGTTTTATTTTTGAAAGTTTAGAATTGACCAAAATTTAATTTTTGAATAAACGACATCGGAATTGGATTGTCCAGGCAACAAACAACGTAAAACTTGTCAATTTACAAAAAGAAGAATTTTGCCAAGTATAAAATTTACTGAATAGTGAGAAGTGAGAACTTATGCAATCGGCCTTCGACACTTTAAAATTAAAGTGTAGTAATTATTATTATTAGTTTTTTGGTAAGAGGGGAAACTCGCAGCCGCTAACAACCTCTGTCACAGTCTTTGCCCTTTGGGTGAGCACTTTGTGGTGAGCACTT